TGATGGGGGACACCAGGAATAACCAATTCAACCACCAAAGCAGATTTTATGGATTTGTGCAATAGAGGACCAACAATATATTGCCGTCAACCGCATTCTTTCTTTTTCTTTGTTGGTCAATCATTTTTCAGTTTCGTTTCTTTCAAACTAAAAAACAAAAGGAAACAATCCAAAAGTCACTCACATCAAAAGTGAGGAAGGGGGGGGGGGGGAAGCAATACCTTTCTCGACCTTTTGTCTAAAAATAAGCCCAGTGTAGTCGACTACCGTGTTCACCCAAATAGAACGACCGGTCATTATAGCTGAACTTGGGGCAACATTCAGTCCAAATACGACTATAATGACCGGGCATTCTATTCGGGTAAAGACGGTAGTAGTATCAGTTCTAATCACTTTACTATCTCATCGGTTAACGAGTCCGGCTTTAGTATGTCGTCTTTGTGCGGTTCAGCCACCAGTACACGGCCCCAGCCARGTTCAGATTTGCAATTGAGCCCCTCCTAGCCTTTCGAAGGGGCTTGGGACAGGGTTTTTAAACTCCCTGGGGAGCGACAGATGGTTGGGCAGCGGATGGAATCCGATTGATTGACAATGTGCCCCTGTTCCTCCCTTTCAGGAAAGCGGAGAAGTCGTCCCCGAARAAAAAAAGCAAACAGAATCAGGGGAAGWTTCGAAAGGTGCAGCGCCTCACTTGACTGTAATACGACTGAAAGGGGTCAGATTTTCCAGTCCACATACTGCTAGCCCGACGCGAATTTTGGGCCAAGGGTTTTCCGGATAGCTTTTTCTCTGAAAGTTCTGCAGAGATTTGCTGGGAAGAGCGATGGCTTCTGGAAGTCGACGGCACAGCTAGTGAAGTTGTCCTAGTTCCGTACCTGGACCCTTTCTTGGCAACTAGTAGAGCCTTGCTTTTAGTTCTTTTTTGCCTTTCGTTTTCGTGCGACGTTACTCGAGTTCTTGACTTTTTACCTTTTTCGGTCCTGTTGGCGGTACCTGGGACCACTTGCGGTACCTGGGACCAGATGGCGGTACCCGGAACCCATCACGATACACGATACGTGGAACCAGATGGAGAGGACGAGCTTGACGTGAGGTAAACCGGTGAAGGAGTAGAATGTTTTGTTGGGTAGCATATAGGAATGACTGAAATGCTTTGTTAACTCCTCTTTGACCGCAGTTCAGAGGACAGTAGTAGCCTCTTTGACCGCATGTTCCTGTTGCTTCTGTCCACGTTCGGATAGCGAGAACAAGGGAAGCTATTTTTTTTTTTGGGTCCAAGAGAGTACGGGCTGCTTGTCGCAGGACTTGAACGACGTAAATCGCTACCACTGCGAGCTGACGTGGCACAAAGTAATTTGAGTTACTGTTGTTATTCACAGTCAAAGCACTATGCACTAACCTGGCCTACAATATGACCAGGTTCCGTGTGCATATAGAGAGATCTCAAATAGAGGTCATTAAGCCACCAGTAGTTCCTAGAGTCCTGCCCGTTAACGCGCCACAATTTTAGGAAACATACAGGCTACTACAGGAGCGCCCAAATTCATCCGACGAGAAACGTTTCTACTCTATCTTTTGCAGCGGCTGGTAGCTGGGCCAAGAACTGGTGGTTTAACTGCGAGCGCATGCTATTCTYTGAAAGTAATTGAGTTACGGTTGTTATTTTGTCGGCGCATCTTGGGGTTTTAACTACGAGCRAATGCTATTCCGTGAAAGTAATTTGAGTTGCTGTCGTTATTTTGTCGATGCATCATGGTGTTTTAACTACGAGCGCATGCTATTCTGTGTGTGTTCGAAGGACTACCGTGTTCACYGTAATAGAACGTCCAGGAGCAAATTGTGTTGTCGGTAAATACCAGGGTGTCTCAAGGACAAGTAGGATAAAAATGTGTCCCATGCTGTGGGGTGGCACTAGGCCCGGCCCTGAACCCCCCCCCCAAAAAAAAAAAAAAAAAAATCCACCCGCCCCCAGGTGAGCCCTGTCCCGAGCCTCCGATTACAGCTACGTTCTCGTTGCATGGTTGGGTCATGTCAAGAGTCTGCTATTGAACCACCAGTACTTGGCCCAGCTATCGGCCACGGAAAAAAAAAAACAGTCGAAATGTTCCTCATCCACTGAATTTGGCCAC